GGTGGGCTAGTGGAGGGGGTGGGGGTTGAACATCATTTAGAGGCCGAATGTTAAGGGTAATCCGTTTAATATAAGTAATCTTGGATAAGTGTTAAGGTTTGGTTATCTATGCTTGATCAACAAAAAAATTCATTGAGGATTAGATTAGTGTAGTCCTTTTGTATACCCAATTTTCCTCAACATTAAGTTTTTCAAGGGTGTCTTTAATAATAATTAATGTAGAATTTCTTTTTCTGTTCTTACCTATTACTTGTTTTTAAAATAGTATTTTAAAAGATATAAATTGCTTAACTTCACATACTAATATTATAATTTTTATAAAAGAAAAAAATAATTTTAGTTAATAAGATGTTAGCCATTTATTTTAAAGATGTAAACTTGGATGTTATTGTAAATACTTTATTTATTAATATAAAGTTTAAGTTTCAATTCAAAGTTTCTAAAATATTTTGCTAAAAATTAGATAGCTTTTCTTTCCTTCCTTTTTTTATAAATTTTTTGAATGTTTTACAATCTTCAATATTATTTTAAGTGAAATTACAATCATAAAATTCAGTATTAAAGTGTTTTTTTGGCCTAAAACAAAAAACCTTTCCTAGTCTGAGAATGGCATACCTTGTTAATCAAAGGTTATTATCCCAAGTAGCTTTATTAGAGTATTTGTCCCCAAATATTTGATCCACCCTTTCATGATTTTCTAACTCTATTATCAATGCAACAAAAGAGACATTGGCAATAGATTAAAGAAATTTAGTTGCAATTAAGTTAATATCATTGAATTTAGAGTTATTAAAAAATTTAACTGTAATTTATATAGAGTATGAGTCATAAATAGTCATATTATATTATTAATGCTAAGTATAATATAGTGACAATTAATATAGTCCAATAAATAATTATTACAAAATTATTTATTTGTTGTAAGAGTTAATATCTGAGATGGTCACTCAACTTTGAATAACTGACTTAGAAAGTCACTCAATCTTGAGTTATTCACTTAGAAAGTCAACTTTGTTTTATAACTCAAAAATCACTCAATTAAATATATTTAACTGCATTTGAGTTAATGTTATTGCATCTAGTGTCACTAAAATCTTTAGTGGCATTTATATTGTTATGCCGTAATTTTAATATCTTTAGAAAAATCACTTTTATAAATGTTCTAAATATAAAATAATTTGAGAAAAATACTTAGAAAAGAGTCGTCACTTAATTTTTAAAAAACAAATTAAGAAAACTTATAATTTTCAAAGATTTAAATAGATAAAAAATCATTTGAAAATATCAAAGGGGGTTCGGGGTTCAATTTACACTTCGAGAAGGGTTTAAGCATTCGAAGTGCCCGCTAACATGCGGTTGACCTGCGACTTTACTAAAATATATTTTGACTATTTTTAGAAAAAAAAAGTGATTTAACATAAAAATAATAATTACAATATTCGATTAATTTTGAGAAAATAGTTAAATAAAGGACATCTTTATTTTATTTGTTTTAAGCAAAAAAAAAGACTTAAATGAAACATTTGAATTAAAATGCATGTGATTAGGATCTTGTTAAAAACCCAAATAATTAGAAACTATTTGAATCATTTTAAAATAAAAATTTAAACTAATATGGTTAATTAATGTATGCAAAACTATTTTAAAATAATTAAAGACAAGTGAAGGTTTTGACTAAAAATATTTTAGTATGTGAAGTGTAAAGAGTTGATGAAATAAAATTTATTAAAGTAAACCAACACAAAGAAAATAGTTCATCTTTTGGGGAATTCAATTAAGTTAATTAACAATTATAAAGTTAGAGTAATAAACAACAAATAATAAATAATCACAATTACATAATTTAAGAGTAAGAGAGAGAAGTTGAATTTGGGCCTTTCTTGGGGCTAATTCGTTGTTGCTTTTGGGATTTAACTCAATTCCCGTTTTTTATATATTTGTTGTATATCAGTGTATATCAAATGTATATAGCCCATTTTTCTGCTTTTCGGAACCTGTACGTCAACTCCAAAGGTTTGTTCTTCGATTTCTCACGATTGACTGACTCGATGAAAGAATTTTGGGCCTTTATGGCCCTCTCAAAATGCGAAGGGAAAAGGGAGTCCATTGGACTCCATCCGAGCCGGATTTCACAACAAACAAAAAAGAACTATATTAGCATAAAGAAAACAACATTTAGATAAATAAAGAAAACTTGTTAACTAATTCACAATATTCACTGAAATCTTTATGAAAATATGTATTATCCTAATAAGGCAAAGTTCATTATGAAAATGCACATGGCTAGAAACCAAAGGAAAATTTTATTAATTATACAAATGAAGTAGGGGCAATTTGACCAATGGTTGTCCTCCATCTCAAACTCAAATTTGGGAAAATGTAACTGAACATTAATTTACATATTGTATCTACATAACAATAAGTGAGACCAAAGCATATAAACACATGCCATTGAATTAACTCAGACCAATACTTTAACAAAGATGTATTCATAAACAAACAAATAGCATAACTGAGATTCTCTTTACATAAAGAAAACTAGACATTTGCAGACAATCAGGCAAATAAAATTGATCGGGAAAATCTCATTCATAATCACACATTATTTACGCTACATTAATTAGGCACCAAAATTCATTCAATTTAAAGGAAGGAAGAAACGCATCTCAAACAATATTTAAACTTACTTTTATCTACTAATAGCAAAATGTCAAAAGATCGGCTGCACTAAAGTTGAAACAGAGAGCTATCAATTATGCCTTGGTTACACATAAATTCAAGTGACTATTCAAAAACAAATATTGCATAGTTTAGGAAAAAGAAACGTACATCAACACTTGGAATTTCAAAAAAATACAGGACATGGATTTCAAGAAATTAACCAAGCTTGAGGTTACTACAAGTATAAAGATCATAAACTTAATCCAAATAAAATACTATCTAATAGTAACGCTACTAGGCGTCGGTCTTTCCTGTGAGGTTAAGCACTTTTAAACTTTCATGGTAACTATCATTTTGACATTCCGAAAAGTTAAATATAGATAGGAACACTCTTTGACAAATTCATAAATATTGAGGCATGTTGTGAATATGAAAAACTCAAACAAGAAGCAGAAACCATGGCGTAGAGCAACGACACTTCAGAATTCCAGCAGGAAACAAAACAAAATTAACAGAAGTAACATTAGAAATAGAGAGGGGCTTACAGGAAGAAACCAAACCTCGTAACTAAATGAAAACAATCATGTTTGAGACGAGAACGAAATCAAATAGTCATCACATCAATTTGAACGGAAAGATCACGACCCCAAATCATGAAACTAAGCAACCATTAATTCATGACAAAAGAAACTAAAATTTGAAAAGGAAGGTTACCTTTTCAGGGGCAGCGAACTGAGACGACGAGCTTGAGGGCAGTGATTCTTCTACCACGAAATCGAAAAACTCCGAGGATTTCGACAAGTTTCCAGCACGATGAGAAAAAAATAATATTTAATGGGTATCTCTTGTGTGACCTTTTTAACTTGTAATTCTTCCTCTCTATCAATTTCTTACCCCCCCCCCCCCAAACATTAAAGAAGATGGAAGTTTATATAGAGGAATTTGGGGTTGATTTAGGGGGAAAACGGTCGAAATTTGAATTTGAAATTTAAATTTCAATGCTCTTTTCGAATCAACATTGAAGGGATGGGAAATTTCTGAAAAGGGGGATGGGACACCGCTGCTTAGGGCTGGGCGTTCGGTCGGTTCGGTTCGGTTTGTAAATTTCGGTTCAATTTTTTTGGTTTTCGGTTTGGCAAAATATGAAACCAAACCAAACTGAAATAAATTCAGTTTGGTTCGGTTATTACAATTTCGGTTCGGTTTGATTTTCGGTTTAACCAAATTTAATTAATGCGCCCTGTGGGTTGTGGCATCTGGATTATTTTCTGCTGGCCTGATTATAAATTGAACAAAATTTGACTTTCTTGGCCTTAATTTGTTTCACCAAGTCTCAACTTTCAACCATTCAAGTTGTTTCTTTGCAGTTAAACAAATGCAATGAGCTCCCACAGGAATGAGGATACCATATTCAAGAGTCAAGACCCATAAATCAACAAGTGCTGGACAGTGGACACCCTTCTTTATAAGCATGTCACAACTCACAAGCCTTTTACTTGAAACTTATCATATCATTGACTAAAATATCTAAATAAAACGGATAATTCTTGTCCAGCAGGTAGCAACATTAACAAACTAGTCGAGAATAATAATAAAAAGACTATCAAGACTCAAGAGTCAAGCCAACAATAGTACAACACTAGAAAATTCAAAAACTTGTGCCCAGCACGACAGCACCACTAAACTGAAACGTCCAGCTGCCAGTAGACTGAAAAGTCCAGCAAGCCAGCAACCAAAACATTCAAAAACCAACAAAACATTGTTGCAACTTGCAACCTCCAAACTCCAGTGCAATAGCTCCCAAGTTCCAACAAATAGCAATCAAGAAAATAACAAACCATTGATCTGTCTGCGAGAAAATAGAACTTTTTAGACAAATGATCTACATTTCATAATAAAATATATAAAACTATCAAGCAAGTTATGTAAATAAGTTCTTTACTTACCCATACCATGCATCACTAGTTAATAGTTGAACTTACAAGTTGCAACTATATATCAATAATACTAGATTCAGTCCCACTACAAGCAAAATCTAAAAAAATATGAAAGAATTTGTTAGTTGTTAAGAAACATAAGTAATAAAATTATTTTCAATATAATTAATACAAATACAAAAATCTTACCAAGTTCAAGTTGCTCAAGATACTCTAAATCTTCCTCAATATTGATTGGAAAAGGCTCACTTCTAAGCCAATCTTAAACACAAATAAGTGATTGCACAAGTTTAGGAGTTAATGATGCGACACTTGAAATGGGAATGGCTAACACATCACGAACCATTTCCGCGAGAATAGGAAATCTCAGCTCATTTACTTTCCACCACATTAATATATCAAAGCCATCACTATTTGGCTTAATATCTTCAGCAAGATAGCTTTCCAATTCTGATTTACTACCTGAACTTCCACTAACTTCTTTATGCTTCTCAATTGTTGTTTCGTTCTCATTCTTCCTCTATTTACAAAGTTGCCAGAACCACTCACACTAGATATAATTGATGAGTTGTCAGATGAAGTAGGTGAAGATGGTACATGTAAAGAGCTTTTTGAGGATTTCTCAACATAATAATCAAATAATTTGTTCATGTATTTTTTCACTTCTGAACATAGTTCATCCCCAACTTCTTTTCCAAAACATAATCCCCAATTGCAAATGGAACATAATCAAGCTTGGTACGGGGATCCAACACGGATGAAATAAAGATTATCTTGTTCATTTTTATGTGGTTCACCCCAATACTTTTTGAACTTTTCCTTCATACTTTTTGCCATTTCTTTCAAATTACCATCTTCATTTTCCATCATCTCTTTCAAAATAAGATTAAGTTCAGCAATTTCAACAAAGTGTGTATTGCTAGTGACATAATTAGAATCAGAAATCTTCAAAGTAGGTACATAAAAAGTTTCAATAAATTTCACCATTGACCTCACATTTTTCCAGTTAACACTTGTAAGAATATCTACATTAGTTCCATCTTCACCTTCAGAAGAATTAGAACCAAAGGTACGAAAATGGTTCAAGTATCCAATATCATAAAAACTATATCTTTCAAATGAAAGCTCAAAATGTTGTGCTACATCAACCATCAAATATGTAGAGTTCCACCTAGTAGGAACATCTAAACACAGAGATTTCTTACAAGCTATCAATTGAGATTCACAACATTCTTTGAACTTTCGAATTCTTGCGGGAGATTGTTTAATGTATTTCACGGCTTGTCTCACTAGCTTGATAGACTTACCAATTTCCTTCAACCCATCTTGCACAATAAGATTAAGGATATGTGCCATACACCTCACATGAAGATGGTCACCATCCATAATGTTAGTTCCCCAATTACTCAATTGTTTAGACATTTCTTTCACAGTAACATCATTAGAACTAGCATTATCAACTGTAATAGTAAACACATTATCCAAACCCCATTCAAGCAAACAATTAGTAATGCAAGCTGCCATATCCCCGCCCTTATGACTAGAAATAGGACAAAAATTTATTATTCTTTTATGCAAAGTCCAATTTCTATCTATAAAGTGGGCTGTCAGACACATGTAGTTGATTTTTTGTATAGAGGTCCAAGTATCTGTCGTAAGACAAACTCTTGGACGTGATTCTTTGTAAACCTTCTTCAAAAGTTGTCTTTCTTCAAGGTATAATTCATAACAATCTCTTGTCACGGTTCTACGAGAAGGAATATGAAATTTTGGCACTGTAACTCTCATGAAGTTTTTAAAGCCCTCTTTCTCAACAAAACTAAACGGTAGCTCGTCAACAATTATCATTTTGGCTAAAGCTCTCCTACTTTGTGCTTGGTCAAATTTCCAAGTGCTAATCACTCCTTCCTTTGTTCCCATTGAAGATGGTAGAAAATTAATTAGATTTTGACCTTTATCTACGGTGTCACGAGGAAATTTAGGACATGTTCTCATATGAGTATGCATTGACTACGTACTTTTACTTGATGTAGAAGCTGCATAAGGTTTCGCACAATACTTGCATTTGGCTTTCTTAGCTCCACTTTCATCGGTGAACTAGTCAAAATGCTTTCAACAAGTAGCTCTAGGTTCCATGAGTTTCCTTTTCTTTGAAGTATCAACATCAACTTCAACCTCATTGGGAGATGAGGTGTTAGGTGTGCTCTCATTTGAAGCACCACTTTCACTTACCCTACTTCCAATTTGTATCATCTGTAAAAAAGTGAAACAAACAAGAAGAACAACAATCAGAATTCAGAAAGACACAGACACACAATACATTACAGTTCACAAATCACACAAATTATCACATAGTTGCATTACTGCATACTTGCTTAGTTGCATTCAATGATTAAAAACAATAGAGGATTCACAATTTATAGCAATAAAACGCACAAATCATACATGTATGATGTACCAACACATCCTAATTCCTAATGTCTAAAAACATAAGAAGCATTAAGAAAAATGAGAGCACAGACATGCTCAATCCTCAATCTGGTAGTGAAAAATGAACAAGTTCATCACCATTAGGACTTAAAATTTATGACAGAACCAGTAAGAATCACCTCATAGGTCCAACACCCCAAAGCATAACAAAGAATGCAAACTTTTCAAGAACACTAAGGTACTGCAAGGATCACAGTGTTTTACTACTCTTGATGTTTCACTTTTGGGGTTCCAAAAGGAAACTTATATTAGAAATTCTCCAAACATTAGGCCACATTTGAAATTGAAATATGGCTCTTTCTAGAATTAAATCTTCCTAAAAACAATGGAATATAATGACAGAACTCTAGAATAAAAAAGAAAAAGAAGAGAAATAAACATAAGCAATTTGTAATTTACTCTTAAACATGAATGTTAATTGGAAAATTGCATCTTGAGCGTTAGAGAAAGTAATGGAAAATTTGCTTGAAAGTGCAAATGCTCTCTTGAAATATGAAATCAAACCAAACTGAAATAATATATAGAGATTGCCAAACAATCTGGTTGAGCACAAGAGTCATGGACAGTACACAAATTTAGTTATGAGTCTTTAAAGTAATATATAGAGATCATCTTATGATTTTTATCCAGTGAGCACTTTACCTTCGATTTTCAAGTCGCGAGCGCCGAGCAGTGTACTGAGCAGTAGGCAGTAGCGGGCTGCACCTGCGACTTGCGAGCAGCTGAGCACTCAGCGAGGAGCCAGGAGCAACGAACGACAAGCTGAGATTGAGAGATGAGGGATGAGAGTTGAGAGACGACCTGCGAACCTGCGACGTAAGTCGTAACTGAGACGAGAGTTGAGAGATGAGAGTTAACTGTGAAAGACAAAAGTTGAGAGATGAGAGACGACTTACGACGAGTGACGAGAGTTGAGAGATGACTGATGAGAGATGAGAGTTGGCAGTTGCGGCATATTTTGAGAGATGAGAGACGATGAAGATGTTAGGGAAATCACAAATCAGATTAGGGATTTTTTATTTTTGAATATTGATTGAAATTTGGGCTTGGCAGTGGACATGGGCTGAATGATGATTGTAATTTGATGTTAAGGTTGTGGACTATCAACTCTGATTGGATTTGGGCCGGCTGGGTTGGACATGGGCTGACTGAAAGTTAATTAAGATTTAAGGGGTAAAGAATATATACAAATAATTTCGGTTTTTCGGTTAACCAATTTTTTTAAGCTAAAAACCGAAAATCGAACCGAAAAATTGAAATATTGAAAATCGAAACCGAAACCGAAACCCACCGAAATTACCGAAAAATCAAAACCGAAATTTAAAAAAAATCAGTTCGGTCGATTTTTTCGGTTTTAACCATATTATGCCCAGCCCTACCGCTGCTGCAGGTGTTGACGTTTACTGGTTTTCGTCTGAAGAAGAAGAAAAAGCGAAGTGGGGGCGGGTACTGCTGTTTGTACGCTGGGTTATTGAAATTGGTTATTGGCTGGGTCTGTTTTGGATTTGGAATGCTGATTGTATAATGTATTGTTGTGAGGAATTGTTGGAATGGGCTTGGGTTTGAGAGTTGGGTCGGTTGGTTGTGGGCCGGAGAAGAATTGAGTTATATTGGTGGGCTTTGGCTGGAAATTGGAGGCAACAATCTGATGTAAATTGTGTTGGGTTGGAATGACCCAAAATTAAAATAAGATGAATTAATATAATTAATTAATAAGCTTCTTAATCTTAACGACATAAAATAATTAATTTAGCTACAAACTAATTAACTCGAAATTATAACTATAACTTAAGCCAAACTAAACTAAAATATTTAACCAAAAAATGTAAAATCTTTTGAGAATTGAGATGATTTTCAAATATTCATAAATACATACAAAATTATATATATATATTAATTTTAAAAATCCTAAAAATGACGAAATTACTTAAAATGACTGGGAAAATATTTTGAATTTTATAAAGTCAATTATTTTAAATCGTTGAGAATTTAAGAAGCTCGATGATTAATATACAATGTGGAGGTCCAAAATTGGGTGTCAACATATATAAAATGTTGGTTATAAATAGTCATATTATATTATTAATGTTAAGTATAATGTAGTGGCAATTATATTAATCCTATAAATAATTACAGAAAAATTCTTTATTTGTTGTTGTGATTGTACAAATATTCTCACAGATGTGGTTTGAGAGAAACTCTATGAATTTGTCCAAGTTCCGATCACCATTGTTGATGAACATATTGACAAGAAGTTTAGAGCCTTTGGAGATTTGGCACTTGATAGGACGTTTACAAGTCCAATTATCAACTAACAACTAATAACATTCACAATTTTAAATTCAAAACTACAAATATATGAACTTGTGAAGAAGTACCACATTGGTGGTTAATAGCCACCGGTTGAGTGGTCTGTTTCTATGGTCTTGGACAATTCTCGTCTCATGATTTAGTTTTGGCTAATTCTGATGATATCTGCTTCGACTCTAGATGATGATCATTAGATTTGGGTAATTGTAATTCCAAATCAACTGATTTATTGAACTGCTTCATCTTCTCTTTATTTACTTCAATATTTTCTGCACTTGTCTCCATTTTTTTGCCCCACAAAAATCCGTAAAGCCCAGCCACTACTATGATTGACCCTACAACTCTGATATATTTCAAAAAATGATCAAACAAATGCTAAATGTTTTACCAAGAAAAATATAATTAGCTTACAATATGAAAAGAAAGTATTTGGCTTTATATACTTACACTCCAAGGTACAATTTCTCGCGAAGCAAAGTCCAACTAAGAAATGCAGAAATAACCAACAACAACGGATTGAACATGGAGACATATAAAGGACCTTTTTTCTCAATGCACCAAGAGCTCAAAAAATATGCAAATGATGTACTCACAACTCCCTGTTATCAACATCAACAAAAGAAAATTTGGAATGAAAATCTAATTAATATATTTAGTTAGATATCATAGGGACTAAAATAGACATTTATCAATTATTGAGGAATTAAAAATCGACATTTGTTTGTATTATATAGAAGATTAATGCAAGTTATAAAAGCGAAAAGAGTCATACATTATAGACCACAGAGATAGCTCTAATGGGATTTAAAGCCCATTCAGAAAGTTTTGGAACGACACAAAATCCAATAATGACGCTCTCCACACTTGCCATTAAGCACATCAACGTTATGCATGTATATGGAGCTGCATACTTCTCACTTACCCTTCCCTAATTAACCAAAAAACAGCAAAAAATTATCGACATTCTGTGTTTACATCACATCAATCAATAAACATATTATCTTGAATACGCATAATTATTCTTTAATCATGATTAATTGATAAATGTTACCTGAATGATTAACCAAATGGCATAAGTGAGACTGGCCATTATAAGTAAAAAAGGTCCTAAAAGGAAGTTGGAATGGGAAGAATTGACATCTTTGCCTGTATTTTCTTCATATTTCCAGTGAAATCCTAATTGACCAATAACAACTTTTCCATGATATAATGACAATAACATTGCACCTCCAACACAAACTATTGTCCCCCAAAACTTGGCTTGTCCTGCTATACTTCTTAATCCCATTTTTTCAACCCTGCACCCACAAAATTAAAGTTATTTATTTATTTATCATGTTCCAATTTGATTTTTATTTTTTTTACTTTTGAATTGTAGAGAAATTAATTAATTACCCCAAGGGTACGGCTATGATAAAGGTGAAAGCTGGGATTAGATTATCAATAGCGGAAGCAATTGTTGGAGTTGAATTATTTAACCCAATAAAATATGCATATTGGTTCGCCGTTATCCTGCATATTTCACGATTTAAAAAAAGAGTAACAGTGAGTTATAATTAGGAAGTATGATAACAACAATAATATATTAATCTCAAATAAGTTATAGTCGGTAAATATGAATTATGATCTCTAATTTTTTATTTATAAAATTTGAAATGTTATAACAATGACTACCTTACCCGAAAATAGAACACAAAAATATCTGAAAAAGTATAGAGCGTGTC